TCAACTATTGGGGAAGCACCCCAAAACAGGCACATGGAAAAGCCTTCATAGGCAGACCATGTCCCAAAAGAACTGGAGAACTACTCTTAATGAATAGGAACCAGTTGAAAGTGATAACAGGATTCATGGTTGGGCACGCCCCAGTAAAGGGACACTTGAACAAAATTGGCATGTACAATGGGGAACTCATGTGCCGACTATGTCACAAGAAACCAGAAACGGCCAAACACACACTGTGCGAATGCGAAGCTCTAGATCGCAAAAGACAGGCTCTTTTTGGACAACCCCAGGTTGATCCAACAACGTATAGAACCCACTCACCCAAGGATCTGTACCAACTTGTACAAGGTACAAAGGTGATAGAGTGGGTGATATGAACTAACATAGGGTAAAACACAATAAGCCAATAGGCTTCAGTGTTATTCGGAGACACATAGTCAGACGAGCCCAGGAGAGAAAAAAAAATAGTCCTAGCTAGAAGGATTAATGGCCTGGAGCATTATCACACATTATTGTAACCAAATCAATATTTTATAAATAATCGTACAGGCCCTTCAAACTCTTAAATATCTGTCATATACTTGGCAACGAAAAAATAAGTTTGTAGTGTTTTTAACAGCTTTTGTTGAGATTATTCAAGGCGAATGAGGTTCAAAATTAAACGAGAGCAATATTACGAATTAAAAGGTACCTATTTAAGGCTATTTCGTCCTCAAAGTCTCACAACCTCCAAATTTAAATTAAAAAAACTGATGAAAAGGAGGTTGACAGGACTATTTTGAAAGTCATAAGATCTGAAAATATCGTTCCATTAATACAAATTGTATGGATGGAACGATATTTTCAGAAGTGACGTAGCACAGTGCTACACTTTCGATGCAACTGAAGAGACGTATTATGTGTTAAGTGTAATCTTTGAGCATATATTACTAGAGCCATCGTCCAAATTTACTTTGTTTTGGTACAAGGGGAAAATAGTGTCCAGCATTCTTATTGGACTGTTTCGATTTACTTGGTATGACAAATTTTCCTGAATTATCAGAAATGTCATTTGGTTTTGGTTTTTATTAATCTTGAGCTATTTTTGCATCTTATAAGTGATTTTATTAATGTTTTATAAACATTTTTGTATTTTTTATACAAATTTGAACAATAGTAAAAGTTTGTCTAGCTGACAATCGTTGTTCTTCGTATCGTAACTTCGTTAACAGATGTGACCAACCCCTTTCCATTCAGAGTTCCTTGACCTTGACCTTCATTATGCTTCAAAGGTTCCATTATAACAGGAGTTACTTTCTCTACAGTTTCTTGCAACCGCGTTACTCTTATAGTTTTACATCTATCAGGCACCACCGTTCTTTCCTGTACAAACACCGACACGGTTTTTCGATTCCTAGTCTTCTTTGAGTGTTTTCGCAAACTGCTTACATTTCCCATTTCACCGCAATTCCAGCACCTAATAGTCTTTGGTTGCTTCTCAATAAGGCTTTTTATCATGTAAAACAATTGGTCGAATTTATATCCCTGTTCTTCCTCTTTTACAGTTGATCGAATTTATTTCCCTGTTCTTTCTCTTTTACAGTTCTTACTTCACTGTATCTACCAGAAGCCAGCGTAGCCGCTTCGTATTCAAGAGCAGAGGACAAGACATCGACCAATGTTTTGTGACAGGCTAAACAGAGTGTTCTTTGCATTTCATGATCACGAAGTCCATCAACAAATGCTTGAACAGCCAAACATTCAATCACGTATTTCGTATTATTTATGAAAAAATCAGAGATGCTTAAAATAGGATAAATTGAACGTTTTCATTTACAGTGATTGGGCGTATACAGTCAGTATACAGTCAGAAAATATTCTTACCAAATTTCAACATTGTGCAAAAATGTACACTCATATTAGCAACATAAAATTAAATATGTAAAAGAAAACCCATGCTCCCAGTCCTCCCTAATAACAAGGTAAACACCTCTGCGGAATTTCAGCTCTTAATTTTTATTGGGCTAGTTGTAGGATTTGTTTTAAATATTTAAGTTTACGTCCGTAATATTTTCGGCCAATGTTGAAATTTGGTAAGACTATTTTCGCTTGAATGCACATTACCAATAACTGTAAATTAAAAAGTTCAATTTATCCTATTTCAAGGTTTTCTGGTTTTTCGTGAATCTTCTCCTTATGTTTTTCTTGTTTTAAAAATGTTGTCGTGTTCTTAATTTTTCAGCAATCGTCTTCATCTGCAAATTCCAAAAAATCCTTTATCTATCATATTATAACCTACCTCAATCATGTACTTTTATAATTTATTAATTCCATTTTATTAAAGAAAAGTTGCCTTCTTATTAAATTCAAATTTCTACTACATTTACAAGAAATCTTTTAGATAATTTAATCCTATCTAAGATGCCTAATAAATAAAATTAATATTGCTGTTCGTAGAGTCTCTAATGTTACAGAAAAGATAAAAAGTTATCCCATGAAAATTCGATCCAAAAAAACCTACATAAACATATTTCTGTTAATGAAGTAATAATCATTGAAGCACTAGTTTCTAGTTTCAAATATTAAGACCAATTTCGACAAGATTTCGATATAAAATTCCGAGAATTTCTCAAGGCTTATAATAAATCTACCACCCCTTTTTATCCATCGAAATTCGTTCTCACCGGAGCTACGACAAACTGACGTCACAAAAAGATATTAAAACGGGTAGATAGACTCGAACCCGAGGATTCGTGGAATGGATTAATATTTTATAATCAAGAAGCATTTATTATTTTGAATCCAGTTATAATTCAAGTTCACTGTTCAATACCTTTTGTAAATCGACGCTTTTCCTATCCGACGCCTATCCTACAATACCCCTTATCCCATGAACGCTGTCACATCTCGCACCACCTAAGTATTTTTTACCTTTTATTCATCCCGACGGTCAACGTCCGACGCCCAACGTCCTCCCTACCGCTGTCACGTCCCGCACCCAGGCATGGATTTACCACTAGGCCCACTAGGCCCGGGCCTAGGGGCGCACGGCACCAAGGGGCGCACTGCCATAAACAAAATCGAAATTAAATGTTTTTAGTTTACAGTTAGTTAGTCACTTGTCGTTGTCGTGGGTCGTTGTCACTAGTCAAGTCACCCCAGTTCTTTGTTTTAAATCTGTGCTTTGTTAGAGTGTTTTCTAATGCTGATTTGCGTTATCTTAATATTCAACTTTTACAATGTGGTCTATACGGCATTACTTTGTTGTTGAAAATAAGTATTTATTATTGTTAAAGTAATCATGAGTGTTTAATAATGAGCTTTAAATCAAAACCTAGTGGTTCAGAGTTTAGAAAAATGCTTTTTTTTTTCACGAAATGTTCAAAGTCAAGTTAGTAATGATGGTTACCGTGAAAATGTACAGGCTGTTTCCCATGACGCTTCTAACAGTTTCAACGCCGAAGAAGTTGCTTTTGAACCCGATCTTGTACCAGAACTTCAAAATAAATCTGCTGATGCTGAAGACGGAGTTCATGTAAAACGTGGCAGAGGTAGTGCAGACTTTTTCAGTTCCGATCCGTGTTTATGGGATGTAAGTGATGAACTAAGAGATTATATTTGTACCCAAAGTAGTGTAAAGCAAAATAGTGACTCCGATTTTAATGAATCCAAAAGACCGTATCCAGATAAAATTCGCTTCCTGTCTAAGAGTTTGTTTACGAAAAAACTTCAAAATGGAGAAAAAAACAGAGCGTGGATGGTTTATTCACCATCAAAAGGTTCCGTTCCGTGTATGATATTTGACGAGTTGGATAACAAGGGCGCATTTCCAAACGGTTTCAATGACTGGAAAATGCTAACCAATGTGTAAAAGACAATGAAAACAGTTTTAACCATGGAAACAGTTTAGAAAAACTAAAAATAGAACGTGAAGTCCACTATTGTAGGAAGGTACTCAAGAGAGTGGTGGCAGCTGTTAAATATTTAACTGTGCTCTCCGAGGATCTGATGAACACTTAGATGACTTCATTGAACTTCTGAAATTTCTAGCCCAATTCGACCCTTTTATGGCCGAACATTTACGTGAATACGGCGACCAAGGTTCGGGTAGTACGTCGTTCATTTCTAAAACTACTTATAAAGAAGTTAGGGACACAATTTTGAAAGAAGTTCAAGAAGCAAGATACTTTGGCATTGTATTTTGGCATTAAATTAGACCCCACGCCGGACATTTCACATGTGGACCAACTTACCTTCGTAATTAGATATGTTGCTATTGATAGCATGCCGATATAGAGATATTTATTTATTTTGTGCCAAATATTGGTCACAAAACAGACGAGAAAGTAAACACAGTATTGGGCCTTTTTGAAAAATGTAATTTGGACATTTCCAATTGTAGAGGCCAATCATATGATAACGCCTCGAATATGTCAGGCATTTACTCTGGAGTTCAAGCTCGTATCAAACAGCTTAGTCCTCTGGCGAAGTATGTACCTTGTTCTGCGCATTCCTTAAACCTAGTAGGCTCGTGTGCAGCTGAGTCATGCAAGGAGGCTATTTCCTTTTTTGGATTACTCCAGGAGCTGTATAACTTTTTTAGCACTTCACCACATAGATGGACTATTTTGACAAGAAACTGAGCATTAAAGTTGCAAAACCTTTCAAAGACTCGGTGGTCTGCTCGTCACGACGCCTGCCGAGCTGTTGATGAAAGCAAAGAGGTACTTTTTAAAAGTTTAGATGAAATTGGTAGTGACTGTGACGAGAGGCACTCCACAAGAAATGAAGCCAAGACTATAAATGATAAGCTAAGTTCCCAAGAGACAACCATTATGGCAGCACTGTGGGGCTCAATTCTGGAAAGGTTTAATAAAGTAAATGTAAAGCTGCAGTACGAAATCACAGAGCTAGGGAAAATAGTTGCCTATTACGACTCTTTGTGTGGTTTTCTTCAAGAAGTAAGGAACAACTTTGATGACCTGGAATGATCAGCAAATGAGAAGTGTAGGAAAGAGTATATGGCTAATAATCGGCGCAAAAGAAAGGTACCTACTAAGTTTGGTGAATATGGTGGACCTAGCAGTGATGATCAATTTACAGGGTCCGAAAACTTACGGGTTAATACTTTTAACTGCATATTGGACTCCCTATACTCTGAAATTAAGAAAGGTGAGTATAAATATTCTAATCTTCACAATAGGTTTGATTTTCTTGAAACTATCAAAAGTCTTGAGACATCTGATATCACCAAATGTGCAAGAAAACTATCGAGTACGTATCATGAAGATCTTGAGCCTGTTGTTGTGGACGAGTGTTTACATGTAAAAGCATTTTTGTTGAAAAACTGAAAACGAAAATACCAGAATGAGTATGACTGAAATTAGCAAGGTTTTGTATAATTTTGACATGGTTGATGTCTACCCTAACATTGTCATTGCGTTAAGAATGGTTCTTAGTGCTCCAGCCACTAACTGTTTAGCAGAAAGATCCTTTTCCACCCTTCGTCGTGTGAAGAACTACCTGAGATTCACAATTATACCCACAACAGTTTGACATCACTAGCCCTGCTCGCCATCGAGGGGAGACTAACTACTTCCTACGGTAGAAAATTTTTCGCGAAAGAAAGCAAGAAGGTTTTATATATCTGTATTGCTCACATTTTATGTATTATATAGTTGTAGTTTTTATTTCTTTAAGATAGTCCTCTAATGTATTTTAAAGATCCGTTTAAATAATGACAGAAGTAAAGAAGAAAATATTTTTAAAGGCCGTTAAATATAAAGGAATTGTTACAGAATAGACCCCTATATCCTTGACGGCGCTCTTCATGAAACATAAAGTAAGGTAACCAACTGGCAAATTGATGTTGTTCGTTCCCTACGTTGGTCACCACCTCTATATACGTCGAAATAATTACCCAAGAGGGTACAATCCTATATATATCTAGGATAGAATCATGCTAAATAAAAATATAAACATCAACACAGTAATGGCCGGTTTTTCAATGCAGTGTTAACATGGAGTTTAACTAACTTCTACTTGAAGGTTAACCTCTAGTTAAAATAAGAAGCGTTTTTCAATGCAAATTGTACTTCTTGTTAATTGACCTAGATTTTAAATGAATTTCAATTTGGAAACGTTGTATTTTTATGTGTTCTGTGATGGTTCTGTGGTATTCTTCTCTGTCGAATTATTTTTGGCCTTTTCACTATTTCTTTTTCTTCGCTACTGTAGGCATTAACAATATTTAAAGCATTCATAATGTCAAAGAACATGTTGGTTATAGTAATGATTTTTTTTTAACAATGGGTTAACAGTACCCTGAAAGTAAGGTTAAAGTTAGCTCTCAGTTAGTCTTTAACTATTAATTGAAAAACAGAAATGTGTTAATTAACATTCAGTTAGCTCAAAGTCAAAGTTAACTACACATTGAAAAACCGGCCCTAAGTTAACCAACTGGCGAATTAATGCTGTTCATTAACTCCGTTGGCCATCAAGTCAAATAAAATATATTTTGATAACAAATGAACGTGATCAGCGTTTAAGCGGGACTTAGGTGAGATCCCAGTAAATAGTACCATTTGTAATATACTTTGCTAATTATTGCATCACATTAAAAATATGAAAATTTAAATAGTTTAAATATAAATTTGTATGGTTTTATTTATCAATTTGCACCAAACTTTCCATCGAATCCTGGTTTATCTTAACTTACATTATCACAACTTGGGTATCTAAATTATTAATTAAGTAACTAGTCGATCACTACTTGTACTACTAGTGAAAAAATGTCAAATACAGTAAGTATAGAATTTAAAGTAAAACAAAATTAAGAAGTAAATAATAAGAGTTCAGATATTAAAACAAAAATCAACAGGGGTATGGGGCTAGACCGTTTTATAATTTCCGTCGAATTAAACAGTCATCAGAAATGAGTCGAACTTTGTCTGCTGTTTTTATTTCGGAATGTTCTTAAAAACTAACGCCATTTAAAATATGCAAGTCAATATAGGATTTGCGCTGGGCTATAGAGGATTTTCTGGAGAAGATATTATTACAGGAAAAATGTGCAGATAAAAAAGACGAGTTGTTAGTGAAGCTATTGAAAAATGAAGAACCGGACATTTTTGAAAAAAAAAGAAACGGAAGGGGCAGATCTATTAATTTCTTCTCTATTTCATCAAAAAAAAGCAGCTATTGGTAACTTTTATTGTAACCATACGGAAAAAAACTGACTATAAATGACAGCAGAATTACGCTTGTTCCTGAAAATCAAGCTTTAGTTTTTTACTGTCCATTATTTAAACATACTGATGTAATAAAAAGTCCAACACATGACTTTTGTCTGCCTAAAGTTATTATGGGCTTATACTTTTCTTCTGATTACAGGAAAGTAAAAATAGATCTTTTCGTTATTTGATTTAAATAGATAGATAGATACTTAAATGCAAGTCTATAAAACATGTGTTAAATAAACAAAATGTATTGTGAAGGTATTTAATATTTATATTATTTGCAAATTCCATAAAATGATGCGATACTGGTTATAGTGTTCGCAGGTATTTCCTCTCTAAATCCAAGCAAACGCTATTTAATGCGGACATATAATTATATGCTCGAAGGTTTTTATATGTTGGCATAGAGTTGTTTTTGCGTCAGTTTTAGTCCTAATCGTCATTTTTTCGTATATTTTACATTTAGAGGCAATAAAAAGGTAGTTATTTTTTAATTTTGGGTACCTGGATTTTTTTAGACTTTTTTCAAGGTTTTTGACAATGTTTAGATACATTAAAACCATTTTATTGGATTTTTGAGATCCAAAAACTAAAAACAAGCTTCTTAATACACGAATACCAAGTTATTATTACTCCCTGTGATAAAAAAATCCTTTTTTTTTTGTCAAAATTTCATAAATCTTTTTATTTATAAAATTTGTTTTTTATCGAATCCCAAATTCTATAGGTGTATTTTTCGATTAATTTAACGACAAAGACGTATGGCTAATGACTCGTAAAATGATAAATCGTTTTTTATATGATTATATATTGCCTATGTCGTGACGTTAAACCTAAAAAGGTCTTTTGTTGGTGCTGGTCTTGAAAATCAAAATATTGATTGAATAACTGAAACAAAATAACATGAAGTTAAACAACAAACTCACACGCATTTTCAATGTACGTCACTAAGGCGAAACGGAATAATATTATATTATACTCATTACATATGCAATATGTATATTTCAGATGAGACTGATGAGCACCAGCAATAACTTTGATCAATTATTTTGAAATTCGAAAACTCGGCTATGTTTCAAATGCAAATGATGAAAATTATACAGAGTGAAAGTAAATTATTGCGATTTTTTTAAATGTTTGCAATCAATTTAAAAAATTAGTTCAGTGAATTCAGTGAAAAGTAAAATTTTTAAAATTGAATTAATATTTTTATGTTAAAATTATGTGTTTTAATGAAATGTAATTGGATATTTACTGCACAAATGAACCAATGGAGAAACCGCTCCTGCTGTATAGGTAACATTTTTGAACCGTAACGTCTAGCAAATATTAATAAATATTATATTTCATGCTTAAGTTGTCTGCATTGTAAAAAAAAAACGTAAAATAGATATACACGTTTTTACCACTTTTTCAATGCGTTTGAATTTCAACAATTCCAACCGTTATAGTTTTATACATGTCTTGACCCGAGTTTGGCGGGTACATTTTAGTTGCCAGAGGCCTTTCCTAACGGCAAGGTCAGTGTTGTATGTGTACCTATTCTGTGAGGTTTTGGTGAATATTGCCGTTAAGAAATGCTACTGGAAAGGTAAGGTGGTTAATCTGTTATTTGTATATATAATTTAAGTTTCACAGTTTAAGGTTGTGTGTCTATTTAGCAGTGGACCTGTACGGAGATTTCGTATAAATGTTAATAGTCAATACATAACTAGTTACAAAGATATTCACCTAGTTGATTTTGATTAAAAGAAACTTAGTTATTATTGGAGTTAGAGGGTTAATGGGCTATGATTTAGAAGAATTTCAGCAGAGGATTGATTAGAGGACTTTGACACGCCATAAAGTCCAAACGATTTAATTTAGAGTAAAACGGTTTGCACATTCCTATCTTGGTTTTTCAGACAGAAGCTATCGAATGGTGCTAACTTAAATTTTGACAGGAGCTATCAAATGCTGACGTACCATCATTCGATAGTTTATGAACAATCAAGACAGGAATGTGCAAACCGTTTTGCTCTGAAAAAATTTATGAGGGTTTCTGGAAAATAGATCGACATCAACAACGAATTTGGCTTTCAACAAAAGCCATTGAAAACCAGCATCCCGACGCGTTCAAGAAGGAAGATGTTAAAATACTAAGCTTTTCTTTTTTCCAAAACATTTTGAAAATAACGAGGATCATTGTGTTAGAGTTTATCAGAAAATGTTCCTGGCTACTTTAGGATTTAAAACAGATACAATTTTGAAAACGGTCCTTGCTGCATGCAAGGATAGTGAAGGTAATAAAGTAGTGACACCTAATGCCGATAAAAGGGGCAAGCATCAAAATCATCATAAGAAAAACCTAGACGTACTTGAATCTCACATACTTTCCTTTAAGCCTAGACTTTCACACTATAGGAGATACCACGCACTGAATAGAAGATATCTACCGCCCGATCTTAGCATAAAATTTATGCATGAAGATTTCAACTTAAAAGTTTTGTTTCTCTAAAACCTAAAGATAAACACTGGTAATCTGGCACGAGGCTATAGCTGCTAGAAATGCGGAAGACGTTTTATGTGCTTTTTTAGCTTTCTTGAAGAAACACAGATATGTTAGTAACATAATTCTGTGGCTTGATAATTGTACGGGACAGAACAAAAATTAGGTTTTATATAGTACAATATTAAATTATGTTAATTCAGGTTTATCTTCTTCTGAAGAAATATGTTTGAAATATCTCGTCAAAGGGCACACATTTATGGCAGCTGACGGAATCCATGGAAAGATCGAACAACAAATGAGAAAACAGAAAAACGTTTGTGACGTTCAAGATTTTATTGAAGTGTGTGAAAAAGCAGCAAAGAAAAACCAGATTTTGAGATTAACTATTGGAGACTTCATGCATTTAAAATCTATAATAAGACAAAGAAAATCAAAAGAAAGCAGCGATACTCTTCTATACCTAAAAGATGTAGTCGAAGTTAAATTTGAAAGAGGTTTGCATGATTTTTTTTATAAATATAAATTCGTCCAATATTTTAAAACGGAAGGTTGAGGTAGGCACTTTTCCTGAAAAAAAAAAAAACTACACCACGTGGTATTCAATCATCCAGAAAGAAAGCAATTTTAAAAGAATTAGTACCAAAGATGGCCGACAGTAGAAAGCAATTTTGAGTCAATTTACATCTGAACGATGGTTATGAAGACCTTCTGGAAGAAGGAGTAATATTTCTATTTTTAAACTTAAATGTTTTAGTATAAATATTTGTTTTTTAGTTTTAATTTTTTTTTCGTTATTACATTTACATGTTTTAAAACATATCATCTTATTTATTAACTCAAAATTAAATTTATGTTTATTTTTTAATTATTAAAGAGATTGATAGATATGCATAGGTTTAAACACGTAAAAGTTACATAAATACAAAAGCCTTTGGAAGGATTGTAAAACTTTTTGTTTAATACAAAGGAAAATAAATGAATAGTTTCATAAGGTTTTATTTTGTTTTTTTTTCCTGTAATAAATAAATTTAAAAAAATGATAAAAACAATTATGCGACATTACATAGCATTAACTGTGCACACAAGATGTCAAAATAGAAAAATAAATACAGCCTAATGTTTTAAAAAGCCTGTAAAAATTTCAAATCAAATGAATGTTAAATATTGATAATGTCGCATTATAAAATTCAAACACGTTTTACTCAAAACAGCTAAAACTTACATACCGCTTTTCACCATTGGAGGGCAGAGTTGTAAACACATCGACCTACACTTTTGATTTTATGAGTTTTTTCGGTCGCCAATTCTTATTGAATAGAAATACCACACAGGTTTTACTTTGTAGTGAAACGTCTTTGCCTAGATAAGCAAACGAAAAGCACATTTTGTTGCTACAAGGAAACAATAATTTTATAGGAAAATTCGATCATACATCAAATCTATCAATAGTTTTCACGCAGCTTCTTTCTTTGAACGCCTTTAAAATGATTTATATTCTCTAAAATAAAATGGAATTTTCTCTGGGCTACGACTTAAATAGTTTTTATCAGATGCTATAAATTCAATGGAAAATGCTAAGAAAATTGTTTATGTGCCAAGTCGACGCCGTGCATTTACCATTGTTTGTCATAGATATTTTCAGTAGCGTTACTTGGTAAACACAGATATACTACTAAAAATATTATAATACAAGGTGTTTATTATAAACTAGTTGCTATTAATTCATTAAGGAAATGTATATTTTTTTTTAAGTTTTATTGAAGCAACTTAAGGCCGTGCAAGGGAAGAGAGAAGTATGAGAAAGTCCTCTTAAAAAGAGACAAAATAAGGTTACCCGGTAGGTGCTGCCTCTAATTAGCAACTACGTAACAAATATACATTCTGCAGTTTTGCATAAGCGAATAAAAAAGTATTGTTCTTAACTCGCAGGGCTAGCAGATGGCTGCATTCAATAATTCCATTATTTTTGGATTTTTGGGGGAATAGGAGAAAGAGTGAGGGAATGGAGGAAAATTGTGCACTATTTTGGAAAATTGGGGAAATTTGTGATTGGAATTGGGGAAAATTTTAGAGGGAATGGGAGCATATGTTACCCATATATCACTAGAGTGAATTATGATAATTCACGCTTTTGTAATTTTGGCAGATTTTAGTAGGTACACGCAGGTGGAGATATTACTTCATAAAAAAGACACGGCGGATAGAAAAGTGCAGCGGTCGTTGAAAGCTACATCGACGAATCAATTAATAATAAAATGAACACTGCCGAAAAAACTGATTAAATCTGTGAACAGTGTCTCAATGTCTAACCGGGTTTTTTAAAATATTCAAAATTCAAAAATTGTTCCGGTATTAACGTTACGATTATTGTAAATAAGTAATGATAAATACCTAGTTATTTATGCTGTTATCTTGTAAGTTAAGCATTTCTTTGTTAAAAAACAACAGTAGTTTTTCTTAATAACAGAACTTTCTCAGTGCGGTTTGGGAACTGGGAATCAACAGAGAGAAGCATGGAAAATGGAATACCACAGGGATCAGTTCTTAGTGTAACACTTTTTTCATTTGCTATTAACCATCTTGTTTGCAACATCTCACAAAATATTCAGTCCGTATTGTACGTTGACGACCTTACCATTTTCAGCAGAAACCACTCCATGGAAACCCTCGAACATAATCTTCAGACGGAAATCAGTAGAATAGAAGAATCTATAAAATTAACTGGCTTTAAATTTTCAGCTGAAAAAAACGCATATGTTACATTTTTGCAAATTAAGAACACCACATCTCGACCCTGTAGTGCATTTAGGAGGTAACAAAATTACGTGTCAAGAGCAAATAAAATTATTAGGGATCATTTTTGATAAGAAACTGAATTGGGCGTCACATATACAATATTTAGAAGCAAAATTCAAAAAAGTCATTAATATTTTGAAATGCATATCAAGCATTAACTGGCGTTCTGATAGAGAAATTCTACTTAGAATTTACCAAACATTAGTACAGTCCAAAATCGATTACGGCTGCACCGTATATGGGTAAGATAGACCCTCAAAACTAAAAGTTCTTGACAGGATTCAAAACACTGCAATACGTCTAGTAACTGGATCCTTTAGAACTAGTCCAATAGAAGCTATTTTATCTGAATCCTCCTCTATACCTGTGAGAATACGAAGGGATTTGAATATAATTACTTACGGAGCAAAAGTACAATCCATCCCAACCCACTTAAATCGACAATATTTTATTAACATGGAAAACATTTATAGGCCAACTTCAACAAAACCGATAAACATCCGATATTTAGAGACAGCTACCAAAAATTCTTTAGTACTTGAAAGTAACATATTTAAAAAAATATTACGACCAAACTATTGCCCCATGGTTGAGGAAGATTCCAAACATCAATCTGTCTTTGAGTAAATGGGAAAAAGAAGATACTTCACCTATAATCTATCATTTTGTTTTTTCAGACCAAATCCAAAAGTACCAAGGATACCTAAATATGTACACAGACGGATCTCGCTCAGAAAATGGAGTTGGTGTCGCTTTAGTCGTAAGCAATGAATCCCACTACTGGACGCTTAATCCAATGTGCAGCATCTTTACAGCCGAATTATACGCAATATGGCAGGCAATGCTGTATTTTTCTTTGTAAGAAAATTCGCGATGTCTCATTTGTGTAGACTCTTTGAGCGCTATCAAAGTCTTGGAGAATCGTTTCACACAAAATGAATGGGCAATTAAAATAATAGAAACTTATACTTACTTAAAATCCATAAATAATGAAGTTACAATCATGTGGATCCCAAGTCACGTAAGTAAAGCCGGGAATGTTTTAGCAGATTCTGCGGCAAAGCATGCTACTACTGGTTTAGTAGACGAATGTATCCCAGTTCCCCTAGATGATATCAAAAAAGCTGTAAAACAAAATTTACCAAATGTATGGCAGGAAAAATGGGATAGGTATGACGGATAACTAAAGAGAATCAAACCTTCCATCAAAAAATGGATCTACTCGAAAATATATCCAGACGAGAGCAAGTAGTACTGTGTAGAATTAGAATAGAACATACTAACCTTACACACTTGTATCTCCTAGCGGGTTCAGCGAGACCAAGATGTGAAACATGTAGAGTTCGCCTAAGAGTCCAACATATTTTGACCTGCCCAATTTACGAACCTTACAGGCGCCAGAGCGGAATTGTATCCCCTGAAATGGAAATCGCATTAAAAAATGAAAAAGATTCAATACAACATTTACTAACCTTTATGAAATTGAGTGGTCTTTATAAGAAAATATAACTTCACGAACGTTGAATAATACTACAGAGCTAATTGCCTTAGCAGTCGAAGCTCTCAAAAAAAAAAAACAGTAGTTACCTATGTTTAATAAAAACTTTCAATTCTAAACTTTACTTTTATTTAATAAAGAAATCATAATGGTCGTGGACAAATTATAGTATTACACTCGTAATTTATGGCCATTTTTCACTGGTGTGACTTGCGCCCCTCGCCTACGGCTCGGGACGCGAACGTCTCTGCGTGGATAATGGCTACCATAAATTGCTCTTTTAATAATATACTATTAACAACCTATTTAATTATAAAAATAAATACGTTTAACAATGATAAAACATTTTTTTGTTACGTCACTGGCAAACCGTTCTTTATTTTATTTGCCAGTTAGAGTTCTTACCCTATTTGTATACTATACAAACAAAGCGATGTATTTAAACTATATATTAAAATTTTAAATTTAAGAACACTACAAGTTTACTCAATTTGTTGGATATTTTATGTAAAAGCGCAAATAAATTATAGTGCTAAAAATGGAATAAAAAATGAAGAATGTTGACGTAAAATATTATTGACTATAAATATGTACTTTAGACGCCTTTGGCGAAAATTACTTTGTTGATATTTAAAACTAATATTTTAACACAGCAGTAAAATACTATAGAGCATTCAATATAAAAACCGATACACGTCATCAATCAGTTGTGAAGTCATAGCCTTGCAGTGTTGCCCAATCTTCAAAATAGTCTAAGAATCTAGGAATTTTTAAAACTATGACGTTATGTTTTTAGGGACAATTAATTTTAAATGTATAATGAATTCTATATAAAAGCCAATGAAGGTCATTGATAATGTTTAAATTGAAGTTTTAGAAAAACACTGAATTTAATAGTAATAAATTTTGCACAAGAGGTTTAAAATGACAAAAAAAGGTTAGGTTAAGGATGAAAAACAAACAAATTTTATTTAGGCTTGATTTAATTTACAATAAAAAATAATTATGTTCAGTTAGTTTGTAAACATCCATATTTGAAATAAGTAACAATAATTAGAACAGTTAGGTAATAAAATTAACAACACATGACATTTTAAAACTTAAATAATATTAAATAATATTATGATGGTGGGTGAGGTTTTCCGGGTTTTCCTCACCTGTAAGTCAAATGGCACCATCAATCATCTTTAAGTCGCCCCGGAGCGCCACGGCAAATAATAATAATAGCCGTCCCTTTCTCCGGACAAGCTCAGCTTTTG